TGACGTAATCACTGACGCACCGTCGTCGACCATGAGTCTCAGGGCTGGATCGGGTCGCTTCCCATCAACCAGTTTTCTTATTCACGAAAGCCAACTGGCGCTTCACCACAGTGTCTGTTTGCACTGGCAGCCAAAGTTACGACACCGATTTCCTGGTGGGAGATGCCACGTGTGTGCTGACGAAGTACAAGAGGCTTGCGTTTGGAAGAGTGATCACGGACAACACTGCTGCAAACAAAGCAATGTGGGAAGTGATGCAGCCACGGTAGCCTATCCTGTTCTTCCATGGCTGTGTCTACCACGCTTTGCATCTGCTAGTGAAAGATCTGCTTGAACACCTGAGCTGGTTGCGCTCGTTGCGCGATGGGTGCAAAGAGCTGGTGGTTTTCTTCAAACGGAACCACAAGTTGTGGTTCTTGCTTCGCCGTAAGGTGAAGGAGAAGAAACTCCGTGCTCTTGTTCTTACTGGCGATACGAGATGGGGATCGGCGCTGGCTTGTCTAGCTAGTGTCCTTGCGGCTGAATCCATTTTATTCACCATTGTGTCGGGGTGAAACTTCATGGACGTGAAGGGATAGCAGTAGCGAAAGAAACGCAAGACGATTTTTACCTTCGTCATCAGTCGTGAGTTTGTTCCCTCCTTAAAAATAGGCTCGGCATTGCTACGTGTCATCGCCAAGCACCTTGTGACGTTGGAAAAGGAATCATACCAATCGCGGAGGTATGCAAGGCCTTCCTGGAACTTCCAACGGAGTTCGGACTTTGTGGCCTAACCGCGCGGGATCTCAAGACATTAAGGGAATCGTTCCGGAGCGCTTCGATTTCATCTACGGCGATGCTCACGGACTGTCGTATCTCCTGGGTCCGCCTTTTTGCGGAGAAGGGATGGACGTGGCCACGCGAACATTGGTCGAGTCGTCCATGCTGTCGTGGTTCGGAGAGGATAAGGCGGACGCGGTACTACTGCAGCTGGTTGGTTATCATCGCTACGTAACTAACTGAAGGACAATGCTCCTTGCTAGTGGAATCTGCTGTGCAAGCGCAAGTTAACGCTCTACGACTGTTGGTGTGGAATGAAGCAGTTCGATCTGCTGCAAACTCTAGCGAAGCAACTATTCCGCTGCGCCAGCTTGAAGGCTGCATCCGAGAGAAACTTCTCCACGCATGCCTTCATTCATTCAAACTACGCGACCGACTTCAGCCCGACCGAGTTGAAAAGCTCGTACACATGGGCAAGGTCTCGCAAGTTACTATAACAGTGAAACCAGAGCTCAGGCTTGAAAGCGAAAAATTCCATTCTTGTCCCAGGTGACAACGGCACTAAGCACAAGATTTACGTGGAGGTGACTACAAAACTCAAAGGCGGCAATGAGCTCCTGACAACTTACAGTCGCGGTTACAGATTTAGATAGAGCAAGTAACTATTCTAGCAATCTCCGTCGTCTAGTGTAGTAAACGTAGTCGTCATCCTTTTGGTCGTTGGCGTTGTCGTCGTCATCCAAGCTGATGTTGGCGATCACATCTTCGAGATGATTGTACTCCTGCAGATTTTCTTAGCTCACATTCTTGACGTTGAAGTGTCGATATTCGATCGGGCACGAGGAGGCACCAAACACGCCCTCTCTGTATATGTCTACATCAGTAAATACTTATGTCCTATGTACTGTCTGGCGTTCTTTTTTTGTTTTTCTTGGATCTATAACGTACACTATATCCCCCCTCCTTTCCTTTTGGTTTCTAGCGAGACACGAGCGTACTTGACAGAAATTCTGAGCTGGTGAATATGCTTGCAATGGCGCCGGAGAGTGTTGATCTTTGCAGTGTGGAACGGACAGCCTGGACTTGGGCACGAGACGTCACTGCCGGAGGCAACAGGAACCCGAATAGGTGTTGGCAACACTGGTGGACTCCATGAGTTGTCAGAAAGTCGAGTGAGATGAAAAGGGGGACACTGTTGATGTCGTCAATTTTTTCCGTGAGGCAGAAAGTGGACAAAAACAAGAGCCAATCAATTGGGAGATGTTTTCAAACTCAGCGGGGTGGGTAGGATTTTTAGTTTATCTCTAAAAACAAACCACCCCAGAGGATGAATGGGTGGGGGGATGGGCAAATTGGATTATTCCCTACCCCAAAAACCACTATGAGCCCTGATTACCACGTCATGGTACATACCTTTAACTGAAACCATAGATCGTACTTGCATCCCAATAGTTACAATTTTCCTCAAAAACAGAATCATTTCCAGCGTTGATGGCAGTATACCGTGCCGCTGCTG